CTAATGCTCTATATAATATGGGTTACTAATACTCTTTAAATATGTGTTACTAATACTCTTAACCTTTAAATCTTTTTTATAAACATATCTTGTAATAAAAAACTGAAATGAAGCTATATTTAAGTTAAATTAAACAAGTAATAAACAAGGAACAAAAAACAACAAAAGAATTGCAATTCTTCTGAGAAAACTTAATATTTACAAACAATAGAATTTTAGTGTTGACTCAAAATTTCACTTAGTTTTTTCTAAATTTTCTTAAAAAGAACAAAATTAGTTAAAAGACAAAACAAAAGAACAAATATAGTTAATAAACAGAAATGTCAATAAAATAATAAGCAATGCAATAAAATGAGCAAGGTATTAAATGAAAGCATTTAATGCCAAACCCTCAGAAACTATAAATATCGTCTACGTATAAATGTTATGAAAAAATATATATAATTAACTTTAAAAAATTGTAAACACTTCGGTAGGTATTATGCAATGAAACACGCAGAAATTGACTATAAAATATGTGAGTTAATGGACACATCATGACACATTCAATTCAGGCCGTGTTAATAAATTTCTAAACTTAATCGTTATAATGTCGTTTTATTTTTAAGTTATTTCACCTGTCGTTTTATTTCTGAATTTCACCTTATAACTACTTACCGTAAATTTTTCAACTACTTTTAAAAAAGAAATCTTTACTAAGTTACTTTACCTTAAGTATTAAATACTTATTTTTTCTTTATAAAGTTTTTATTAAGTTTTTATTAAATTTATTTTCAGTTTAATTTTTTGTATAAAAAAAAAAAATTATCTTTAAACTTAACTAAGTACTAGGTACCTGTATCCGTAAAAATACAGGTCTTTTCAAGTTTGATCAACAACAACCTTTTCTATACTTAAAACCGATCATTATGCTATACTTATCTATTCCACATTATTTAATTCTGTACCTTTTCTTTACTTAGTTCAATATTTTTTAGTAAAATAATTCATTCCAAAAAGTTGCTTTAAGAGCAAAAAAAAAAATAACATGCGCATTTTTTTTGCACACATAGAGCTTATAAGAGAACTCCCTCTATATAAAACACTTTATAAGCAGAATTTTGAGATTTGTATTTAACATATTTTTTTTATGTTTTATTATGTTTTATTAGATGCTATTCAATAAAGCATCACTTATTTATCCAAATGAAAAGAACATCTGCATGAAAAAGTTGATTAAGTGCAATAGGTATAAGAGTTAATGAAAAGTTTCTGACCATAATTTTTTATTTAGACCATCTGCAGCTTATAAGGACTAATTAGCTGAGGACATTAATAACTTAAGTATCTCTATCACGACATATGAGCAACAAACTTATTCCAGTGTTTTGTCGTTTTTAAAAATTTTAGGAAAAAACAATCTTAATTTTTCTCCTTCTTTTGCTTGTTATAGTATATAATAACTTTATAAATGTTATGTTTGTAATATATATAAAACATTAAAACTGTTTTAGTTTGAATTAAAAAAAAAAAAGCGTTATTTGGGTTTGAACCATGGTGGTTTTGCTTTAATAACTCTGAAAGCTTTGTTATTTGTTTTTGTTTGTTGTTACACTTTGACTGCATGACGTGTTGCCTGAGGAAAATTTGAAAACTTTTTGATAAACAAAAGGTTTTATAAAACAGCAAATAGGCGTTTTTCAAAACTCTCATCCTCTCGTTTGTTAAGTACATAATATCTTTATATATGTTATGAATATTAGAGTGTTCAAAAAAAAAATTTTGGTGGTTCTAAATTCATCCTGGTTATATGCATAAAAATAAGCAACTTTACCAAATTTAAGTTGTTTAGGACCCTTAAAAGTGTAAGGTGTAAAAACTACAAAACAGGCATTTTTAGATTTTTTATATGGTTTTCTACGCAAAGGATCTCTTTTTCATTTATTTACTTAGAATTTATAAATAAGCAAGTATTATTTTTTAATACTATTACAGAGATTATTTTAAATAAATTAAATCAATACAACAATAACAATAAAGTTTATGTTTTTAGATATATAAATAAATAGTAATATGGAAATAAACAATAAACAATGCAGCAAAACAAGCAAAAAAAAAAAAAAAAATTGAAGATATTGAAAAAAAAATTAACAATGTGGTAAAACACCCAAGTAGACCATTCTATCTTTTGATCAGACCCATTTTAGAGCTTTCCAAATACCAGTTGCCTACAAATGGTAATGTTTTAAGAAGATATTGCCATATTATTTCCTCAAAGCAAATAAGGTGTAAGTCAAAAATATCAAACATTAGTTGCACCATGGAGAAAGGAGGGTATTAGCTAAAATGTTAACTCTCTGGTGCAAAATGTAAGACAGGTATCAAAGATTGTCTTTTCAAAGAAGTAGTAAATGTCTGGTGCATAGCGGTTTTTCAAAAAGATTTCTTGATGAAAAGTCGGACCATTAGAGATTATAAATAATAAAAAATGGAGAAAGCAAATAGATCTTAAAAAGTAACACTTTCCAAATATATTTAAAATAAATTGTAATTATATTTTATTTTAACTGTCAACCTTTTCTAAAGTTTTAAAAGTGTAAATCTTATTCATATAAGATTGAACTTCTCTTCAAAGAAAATTTTTCGATTCTTGAAACCGACTATAAAAAAAGTTCAAATTAACTTTTTGACATAGGTTACAAAAATACTGTAATGAAAATCAAAGTTGATTGCAACAGATCACCTGATGCCAATAAAGAGGACATTAAATTCTTAACCGACCAAATGTCAACAAGAAAAATGTATCTAAGTGAAGATATTGACATGATTTACCAAAAGGGAATTGAGCGTAGAAATGAGACAAAAAACTTATAATATTCATAGAGGATAAAAATTTATTTAAAAATCATACTGTCTCGGATTCTGATAGAGAACCAATAAACTTTGAGTCAAATTCATCTACCTATTCATTTTTCCATGTATCTAGTGAAGAAGAAAAAAACTTCTTTGTGCCATTAACAAGAAAAGAAAGGATCTGATGAGCTGCACCTATAAATATCAAGGGACTGATTAATAAAAGCGACAAGTGAAGTTGTTACAAGATTTCAACTTGGTGTTAGGGTTTATACAGCAATTGTTTCCTCATTTCTAAAGTATACAGGGAATAATCTGGGAGATATTTTTTTGTCAAAATTAGGAATCCACAGAAAAAGACTTCAAACCATCAAAAACAAAGGGAATGAAATTAGAAATAGTTTATAAAAATATTCTAATTAGTAAAAAACTTTTGCTTTATTTTGATGCTCAGTTGTGAAATAAATGGGATCTTAAAAATAGCAATACTGTTACAATGTAAAGGATTGCAATAAGTGTGACGGCTCCTGAGGATGATAATAATAGTGATAATCTGCTAGGAGTGTTCCAGGCAAATTTATCTAAAGGCAAAGACCAAGCAAAAAAAAAAAAAAAAAAAGGTACTAGAAGATTTCGAAATAGAAAGTAACATTTTTGCTGTCTGTACTGACACAATTGCTGCAAACACTGGTGCACATAATGGAAGGATCAAACTTATAAATAGGTATATTGCTGGAAAACACATTATATGACTTTTATATTGTCGACACATATATGAGAGACCATCAGTCATTTAGTGCAAGCGCTAACAGGAAAGACTAAAGCACTAAAAAAACAACTGTTTTCAAATTAAAAAAAAAATTGGCCTAAATATTATCAGATATGCAATGAAGATATTTACTCATTAAATAGAATTAATTGCATCATTTTTAAAAACAATTCTGACATGAATCAGATTGTACAAGAAGCTAAAGATTAATTAGAAAATGCCACTACCTTAAAAACCTTTTCCAAGATGAGAAAAGGCTACATAAGATTATGTGAACTAGGTTCTTTTTATTTGGGTAATAAAGTACCAAATTTCTACCTTTCCCCTGCTTGTAATGAAGCTAGATTTAAGGCAAATATGATACATTTATTGATGCTTCAACTAACTAATAAGAAACTGAAATTTATGTCAGTGGAGAAGATAGAAGATATCAACAAAATTGCACCTTTTGTAGCAGTACTTTACATTCCTTGGTTTTTGAAGTCATCAATCATAATCCAGGCACCATCTGATGATCTCAAAGCTAACTTAAACTATAGTAGTCAAAAACATAGAGGAAGAAGTCAAAATATCAGGCAAAAGCCTGAAAAAATCTCTTAAATCTCTTAAGCATACATGGTTTCACTAGCAGAACCAGATGTAACTAATGAAGAGAAATTCCTAATACAGAAACTTATTCCGTTCCCGAAGATATTTGTTCTTTAGAAATAACAAAAAATGAGATTAGAGATGATATAATCATTAACAAGAACACTCATTTGCACGAATATGTTGGGAAAAGCAGCTTTTTTCATACTCAATTCTAATGTACAAGATATAATGTTTTGGATTTCTGATTGAAAGTTTGTAGATCTTCATCCCAGCTTCAAGATTCTTAAAGATTTTGTTTTAAATATTCAGTGCACAAATAACTGCTCTGAAAAAAATATTTGTCTAGCGCAAGAGTTCCTGGCAGACAGTCATAATGAAAATCAGAAACAAAACATCATAATGGTTGCTAAAGAGAATAGAAAAAGTGTGGATAAAAAAATGAAAAAAAGTGATTTGAACTTTGCGAAATGTATTTTAGAATATATGTATCCTTTGCAAAATGTATTTTAGAATATATGTAATTTTTTTTTCCACTTTAATCGACCCAACTGTTTTGAATCAAAATAAATTGTTTTTTCTTAGGATATTAAAAATAAGGCGGGACTTAATTTGAAAAAGAGCATTTATCAACTTAATGCATTTTTTACATTTGACTCATAGATATTTATCTAAAAGTGTTTAAAATTAAAAACACGTGTGTTGATAGTTGCCCAAAAGTGTTTGATGCTTATTTTTTAACCTATGTTTTTTAATTACTTAATATTGAGTTTTCGAGATTTTTAATACTTATTTATTTGGTTTTTCCCAGTTTTGCGTTTTAACAACTGATGCAAGTTCATCTGTAAACTTTATGTTTACAAAAGGATATCAACAATCTCAGGTGGTAGTTTTTTTTTTAATCTTTGTTCTTCAGAAAAACTCTCTAAATTCTTATATCAGTTAAAAAGAAAAAACTCTTTTTTAAATTAAATTTGTGAATTTGAAGCTTTTTTTTATTCATTTAATACATTCATTACTTTAATAACAAACGGATAATTTTTCTTTTGAGGTTATACCTAAAAAAATTCAGTTAGAAGAAAATGGGATAATAACACCTGAGGATTTGCTTTGTTTTGCTTGGCAGATTGCATCAGGGATGGTATTGATTAATTATTTTGTTTTATTTGTTTTATTTTTATTTTTACGTAGAATATATTTTTCTGTTTAACAAAATAAGTTACATAAGAGTTTCACGTAAAAAAACATATATAAGACTATTTAAAAAACAGACTCAAAGAAGATTTGGGTGATGCAATACCTCCTTATTCTTTTTATAGAGCCCCTTGAAAAATAAATATTGTCAAAAAGTTGCATATATTAAAAAAAATTTGCATATATTAGTACATCTAAAGTCTTTAATTTAAATACTTAAAGATTTTAAATTATTTGTATATATATACACGAAATATTGGTGATAAATATTTACTTCATAAATATCATTTTCATATATCTTAGTAAGGGTTGAGTGTGGTCCCCCTTTTTTTGTCCCGTATATAATTCTACACACATGTTTTTGAATACTAAGTTGAGTGATTTCACTGAAATCCAAATTGTTTTGGATGAAAAAAAAATTGTTTTTTGTAAACTGGTCAAAGATACGACTATAAATTAAATGTTCAAATATCTTTAAAAATGCAGAAAGTAATGATATAGACCTGTTAGAAACATTTAAGTAATCCTTATTTTTAGAAACCTGTTAGAAACATTTGAGTAATCTTTATAAACTTTAATTACTTTTGCGAGTTTCAGTACATCAGGAAATATTACTTGGTTAAGAAAAGCTTGGCTATATTGAATAACGGCTAATAACGCTTTTTTTTTTTGAAATTATTGTATTACTGGGTATATTGTCAAATCATGAAGATTTTCTTTAAGAAAGAAAAAGCCGATTCAAATTCTTTTAATGTCAAAAGCATACAATATTTTATCATTTGACGGTTTTACCCAGTGGGAACACAGACGTCTATAGTACGTCCGAGGACGTCCAAAATGGTCAGTTCGGATGTCTGAATATATATATATATATATATATATATATATATATATATATATATTCAGACATCTAAATTTTCAGACATATATATATATATATATATATATATATATATATATATATATATATATATATATATATATATATATATATATATATATATATATATATATATATATATATATATATATATATATATATATATATATATATATATATATATATATATATATATATATATATATATATATATATATACATATAAACACTCAGCAAAATTTCTTTAGTTCCACTTACAATTTGTACATATAAATAAATTCAAGAAGAATTTACATTATTTTTTTGTTTATTAAAGGAATTATTAGAAACAAATAAATAAGCAAATAATATTATAATAGAAATTAGTTATTACTTTATTTTGTAAAACTTAAAAGTTGGAAATATTTTGAAAAAACAGGCGAAATTTTTATAGTTCCATATATATATATAGTATATCGTTATCTATAGTAATCTATAGTAATCCTTCATAATTTTTGTTCTATATAATAATTTTTTGAATAGTTTAGCTTTTAACAATGTGTGCTACAAACTTGGACTCTATTTAATTCAAAGAATCGGTTTTTCATACTTTTTATAAGATTTTCCAAACAAACCTTTTGAAATACCATTCCATGCTTGTTGGATAGATGTTTTATGTTCTTGTATTGTATTATACTGTTAAGAATTTCCCTATATAGTTCGCGCGAATATTCCCCATAAATTTTCAATAGGATTCAAATCATATGAATATGATGGCAAACCCAAAACGTTTATATTTTTTTCCTGGAACCACTTTTTTACAATTCGTATCGGGTGAATCCCCGCATTATCTTGATGGAAAATCCAGTTCTTAGGTAAACCTTCACTAAACTCTAATAAAACAACTTCTAAAAGATCTGCATAATTTCTTGTATTCATTTTTGCTGTAATAAAACATATTGGAACTTTGCCGTGGAAACAAAATGCGGCCCACACCATAACTGTCCCTCCTTCGAAAAACAGCTCATAACTATGCTATCCTTTTTTTCAAATCAGGCCAATAATACTTAAAGCTATCCAGCCCATCTAAATTGAACTATTTTTTTCGAAAAAAAGAATATTTTGCCATTCTGCCTCCCATGTCATGTGGTCTTTTGCAAACTTTAATCTTGCACTTTTTTTTTGTTTGTTTTATGATCATTCTTTTCCATTGGAATCGTCCTGATTTTAACAAAATTTGTTAGGTTATTTAAGTTCAGTCTTTATTTGTCTTTTTGTTCGTACTCCGGATGGCGTCAAACGCAAAATGGAAGAATGGTGCCTTTTAGTTTTTTTTTTTATTTCTGCCCTTAAAGTGATTTTTGTAGAATTTTTACCTAAGTCTATAAATTTGTTCACTGCATGATGAGACCTTTTGATTTTCTTTACAATTTGATGATTGTACAAACCAATATCTTTGCAAGAACCATTTTTTTTTTACTTTTTTTCACATTTAACACCTTTCCGCGTGGCATTGTAATAATTCAATAACAAATCTTATTTAAAAATACACAAAACTTTCATATAAAACAAACAAATTAAAAGATCTTACTCAAACTTCAATTATTCTTATTAAGTGTTTAAAACAAACTAATGGAACTATGAAATCTCACAAGTATAAATACAAATTTTAAAAACATTCTTGAAAATTTAATTTCAATTTTTTTAGAAACGCATAAAACAGTCATAAATGCATTTGTCTGCAATAGGTGTAATTAAGAAAGTTTTTTTGGTTAATTTTATAAATGCGTTCCGAATAAAATCTGCAATAACTAGATGGAAATGTAGAAATTTCCTTGTGTGTGTGTGTGTATATATATATATATATATATATATATATATATATATATATATATATATATATATATATATATATATATATATATATATATATATATATATATCATATATATAAGGATATGATCACTTATATCAATCTTTAATATTCTTGCCTCAAATGATAATTCTAAGTGATTTTAATAAAAATATTATCTTATGTAGTTGTAGAAGTTCTGAAACGATCTAATTTTACCAGTAGGTGGTTGGCACATGCATGCAATTATAATGATTTTATTTTTGCATTATTTACTTCAATAAAAAGACTTTTAAAAATACTAGCTGATCTAACCCGTAACAATACGGGTCTTTGTGAGTCTATTCCACACTGACCTTTTCTATACTCTTTTCTAAGTTTTTTTTTTCTATTTATTAGTCAAATTTATGGACATCGATCTCTAATCTAAAAGTTCTAACAGGAGTGTGTTAAACTAGTTGTAAAACTCTAAATTTTTTTATTATATCAAATAATTTAACTTTTAATTTCTTTTAAAAATGTTCAATAGCTGATCGGACCCAAAATATCCGTATTTTACGGGTCTGTACGTCTATTCCACACTACCGTTACAATATTTTTATAATACATATCATAACTATCCGGAAAAGTGTTTTTCACCTAAACAAAGAAACTCTATTATTCATTAAGTTTTTGAATACTATATATATATTTATCTATATTTATATACATATATATATATATATATATATATATATATATATATATATATATATATATATATATATATATATATATATATATATATATATATATATATATATATATATATATATATATATATATATATATATATATATATATATATATATTTATATTTATATATATATATATATATATATATATATATATACATTTATATATATATATATACATTTATACATATATATATTTATATATATATATATATATATATATATATATATATATATATATATATATATATATATATATATATATATATATATATATATATATATATATATATATATATATATATATATATGTATATATACATTGTCGCTTGTAAGATACAGTATTCAAATACGGCATGATTAATAGGAAAGAACAATATGAATCCAGTTAAAAAACAAAGATATATATTGAGAGGAAAAAAAGGTGATAGTTCCGCGAGACTATGGAAAAACGCTAAAGGTCCAATCACCGTTTTCTCCGTAGTGGAAGCTCTGTGAATTACTTCTTAGCGGGCTCTGCCTGTCAGTCTGTTATTGTTTATTTACCACGTTTTGTCAGTCTGAGTGTGTTTATGCATTTTGGTTTAACCTTAAGTCTTATTTATTGTTTTGTGGTTACTTGTCAATATGGATAATGGACATTGATTTGAGTAAAAGTGAAGATGAAGAAAATAACATTATTTTTCGATAGATGATAAAGAAAAGAAAAAAGTTAGGTCGAACAAAAGATATTATAAAAAAGTTTAGAGTTGATTTCCACAAAACAGGTAAAAATTGTAAATGCGAAAGCTGCATTTACGGAAGCATTAGGCAATTCCAGTAATCTGAATTTAATCGAGGTGGAACACACACCGTATTTGAAAAAAGCAGAAAAATTTTATTTTTTGAAGAAGTTGTACGAAAAAAAAAGTGGAAGGTCAAATACAGTAGTTTCTACTGCTATGGACTTCCAAAAGAGTTTACACACACCAAATATAACAACCAGTGATACTTTTGCTTAACTTTTGCTTCTGTAACAATAATGTACTCTTGACTTTTGAATCTGTTTTTTATAAACTTGATAAAACTAATGCAAAAAGGATCTGATAAAGTGTGTTCCATTTTAAACCTTTTTATCAATAATTTTGTCATCAACATGGTTAAAGAACTAGTAATTTTCTGCCATTCCTGCAATGGTCAGAATAAAAACTGCAACGTTTTTTGCTATTTCCACTATCTTGTAACAGAAAAAAAAAGATTTGAGTTTGTGAAAGTTTTCTTCCCTGTTTGTGGGCATTCTTATATGGTGTGCAATAAAAATATAGTTTTGATTAATCAGAAATCCTACGTTAAATTGCCTGAAGAATTGAGAGAAATAATAAGAATTTTAAAAACAAAGACTATGACGTTTCATGTCATTAATTGTGATGATGGGTTTTTTAAATCATGGACAGATTTTTTGAAATCTCTGTTTAACGCTAAATGCTCATTTTTCTCCAGGGCTATTTGATGTCTTAAAAATT